ATTTGAACAGCGGAACTGCTGAACTGCAGTCAGCTGAAGTAGCCTGCAGTGCTGCATTTAACCACTGCGCCACCTTGGCTCTAGGGCTTTAAAGGTGATAACCAGCACCTTGAAGCGCGTTCGGAGACCAATAGGGAGCCAGTGCAGCTTGCGGAGGATAGGTGTAACATGGGTATATCTAGGTACACCTGATATTGCTCGCGGGGCTGCATTCTGGACCAATTGTAGTCTCTGAACACTTTTCAGGGGCAGCCCCATGTAGAGCGCGTTACAGTAATCCAGTCTTGAGGTGATGAGGGCGTGAGTGACCATTTTAAGTGCTTTCCAGTCCAGGTAGGGCCGCAACTGGTGCACCAGGCAGACCTGGGCAAAAGCCCCCCTGGTCACAGCTGACAAATGGTGTTCTAGTGTCAGCTGCGAGTCCAGGAGGACATCCAGATGTAAACCTGAACCACACGATCTATGCAATCAAATCATTCACTAACTTATTACACATTTTATTTAATTATTTTTACCCCTGCATACCTAATGGGCATTCAAGACAGCTGAGAATAACAGTCTCTAGGAATAAAGCCCATCCTGAATGATTTCTCTTTTAGGACTTGGTCATATGAACCAGGATTGGAGATGGACTACAGGTAGTCCTTGAGTTAACAATCACAATTCGGTCCAAAGTTTGATATTTATTAAGGGTGTTTTGCCCCATTTTACGACCTATCTATCTTGCCACATTTGTTAAGTGGATCACTGCAGTTATTAAGTTGTTAAGTGAATCTGGCTTCCTCATTGACTTCGCTGGTCAGAAGGTCGCAAAATGGGGCCACATGACCCCAGGACACTGCAACTGTTATAAATATACACCAGTTGCTAAGCTTCCAAATTTTGATCATGTGACTTTGGGTGTGCTGCAACGATCATAAGTGTGAAAATCAGTCTTAATTCTCAGTGATGTAACTTTGAATGGTCACTAAATGAACTGTTGTAAGTTAAGAACTACCTGTAGTTTAGTTTGCCATGGGGAGGAGGAAGTAGAGATGGAAACAGATTCAGGGACTGCTGCCAAGCTAAGATAAGAAGGATTTACACTTCAGGGTTGAGGTCCAGAAGCAATTTCTTTTTCCCCACAATGTAATTTACTGATAGTTGCTGGGCCCTGATTGGGATTAGGATCCCCACTAATTCCTGTAAAATGGAAAACTGAGCTGCATTACCAGGAATTTTGAGAGTTACCACCCCAACATGTAAGTGAGCCTCTCATCTATGCTTTATCCACAAATGTGTTCTATTTTAGCTCTGCCATTTTGGTGTATATTGCTGCTAGAATTTCAGATTTACGTTTAGCTGTCATGGCAATGGCACTTGTTGGAAGAAATGTCCATCTGGGTTCGGTTCCAAGTGGGGAAAAAGACACTGAAAACATGGAGGCTGTTTGGAAAGATGGTTTAGTGGTGGACAGGATCACATGCCTTGGAGCTCCTGGGTGAAAAGGGAAGAGATGCTGAGAGTCCCTGGGTTTTCTGCCCTCTCTGGGGTTTGAATTTCCTGGGGCACAGGAAGAGTATCCTGATTGATTGCTGTCAGAGGTCATAGCTAACTCTGTAGGTTGTCTGTGTGCTAAGTTTGGTTGAAACTTGGTGGGTGGTGCAACGAAGGGCAATGAAATAGCTTTGTTATGTAAAATAGGCTGTCTCAGACCTTAATTGCCCATTGACAAAGGTGTATGTGGGGTATTAAGAATGAGTCTGTTTCCTGCCTAAAACATGTTTCTCCATTTCTCATCCAGGGAAATATAATATTCTGCCCTTTTAATATTTCCTAGGATATTTCATTTTTCTAAGAGAGGCAGGGGTGCTAACTTCCTACACATTCCTTGTATCCTTCTCTTCTGGAATTTCCTTCACTACCATTTCTTGTCTAGCAAACACCTCCTTTAGCAACCATTTGCAGTTACAACACTGATGTAAAAGTAATTTTACAACCAGTTTCTAGCATTCACAATCTTCAGAGATCTGGAAAGGAAAGGAAAGCTGAGGTAAGATCATAAGCCCACTCACAATTTCACTTGGCAGCCACTTCATTTAATGACTGAATTGCTGATCCCAATTTTGTTTGCTAATTGAGGATTATCGGTACTACTGATTCTTTAACTTATTGCATGCATACCGAGTATATAATTTTAATCTAAATAATTCAATAGAAAACTTGACAATTGCCTTTGTGGAGGGTGGGAAGCAATGTTTAAAAGATTGAAAAACCAAACAATAGTTTTATACTATGCAGAGCAATGGCCAATGTAAAGACAAAATCAGACAATATCATCTGATAGGACAGGTAGTACCTATAACTATGGTACTTAACTAAAAATAAATAAATAGCCAATTTCCTTGGACTTGGAAAATAATGTTCGTTATCATTTCATGACTCAGTTAAAGCAAGAGTCTCCAGCCCCTGGGGTGTAGCCCACTCGAAACTGGGTCATGGGAGAAATGGGCAAGCATGAATGTGTGAAGCTCCACTAGCGTAAGCAGTGACCAAGCATGCACACGTGCTCGAATCTCCATTAGCATGAGCAGCGGCAAGCACACGCATGCGCGCAAAGCTCCTCTCACACAAACAGAGGGCACTTTGCTTGCAGACAAAGCTCTATTCCCGCAAATGGAACTTCGCACATGAACACAAGCGACCTCCACTCAAGCACCTTCTGTTCACACGAGTGGAGTTTCGCGTATGAGTGCAAGCACTCTCTGCTTGTGCACAAAGCTCCATTTGTGCAAGTGGAGGGATTGCACGCTGCTCACACAAAAGGAGCTGTGCATTTGTGGACATGCGACTTCCACTCACATGCCCTCCTGCTGGGCCAAACCACCAAGTTGCAAAGGTTGGGGGCCGCGGAGTTAAAGGGTTCATTTGCATGCCAGATGATTGCCTCAGCTGCTTGTAATCACTTGGACACCCTTTTTTTGCTTTGAAAGATGGATTAACCTTTTCCATAATTAGGAAAACATTAAGTAGCAGCTGTGATTAGTTTTAAAAACCTTCTTGATTAGTAACAACAGAGAATTGCCTTTTGCAACTTGTAACTGTAAAAATAATTTAGTGGAATTATGATAGATTTCCTAGGATAAGAGAGAACAGCACGATACTGTATTAAATTAAAACAACTAAGTTTAGATTGTGGGTTGGTAAATCCAGGAAGAGGAAAGGAACAGACTGGTCAATACTACGCAGTGGTGAAGAAAGAACATGTAGTGAAAAATTCATTTGGAAGAAAGGAGCAGAATGAGAAAATGTCATCAGCTCAGTATTTCTTATTTCTCAGCCCGCTTGTTTATCACAGTTCCAAGCACTGTGACGTCTTGTTTTATTGGATTCTTTTGCAAACAAGTCCAGGCCCAGCACATGGTTGGCATCAAATGCCTGGCAGAGATCCTTGATCTGAGCCTTCCTAGAAAAAAGATAAAGATATAGCGATGAGCGCCAGATACCTGAATCACAGCCATGTGAATTTTCCAAAAAGTCTTGAAGCAATGTTCTTTCAAGACATTGTGAGAAATTGTCTTTTCTCCAAATGTGACAGTATTGCAATGATGGAGACATAGCTGCTGGTAAACATGCTGGTGCAGTGATCTCTTTGCAAAAAAAACTTTCTATTAGATCCATATCAACTTGGTTATAAGAGTCAACTCAACATTCATTATTAATTTCAATGGAAACGCTGATATTTCATTGTTCATCTCATGCAGGGGTGGGTTGCTCCCAGTTTGGCCTGGATTGAGTGAACCGATAGTGGCAGGGGCAGGAGGCTCCACCCAACCGCCCGAACGCTTCTGCGCATGCGCACATGTGCGAACTGGCAGTAAAAAAATGGAAACCCACCACTGATCTCATGGACTCTTGCTCACTTGGCTTGTAGGTGATATACTCAGAAGAGTGGTTAAACAAACTGGATATGTTTAGCCAAAAGTTAAAGGGGGACATGATAGCAGTGTTCCAATATTTAAAGAACTGTAACTGGAAGACAGGGTAGATTTTTTTGCACAAAGCTCTCAAGGGTAGGGCAGCAACCAGTGAATAGAAGCTCCACAGAGGGAGATCAATGAAATAAGGAAGAGTTTCCAAACCATGAGAGCTATTAACCAGTCAAACGACCTGTCTCTTGGAGTCATGATACTCCATCATTCATTAGAAAACCATTTACTTGAATGGGCATATTTTTTATTTTTGTTTTGGCATGGTTTGCTATAATAAATTAGATTTGAACTGATTCCTGCACTGGGCATGGGTTTGAACCAAAAGAACTCAAGGTCCATTCCAACTTATGTTTCTGTGATTAAGATTCAGAAGGAACTTATAAGATGAAACATTGGGCAAAACTCATCAAGATTAATTTCAAAACAGACAAATGAAAAGTCTTGTATTTGGGTGGGAAAAATCAAATAGGATGGGGAGAACAATATTTGACAATAATGCTTATGAAAAGGATGCAGCTCTAAAAGCATCAAATGCAATTTTAGGCTGCATCAATAGTAATATAATGTAAACATTTTGTTAGTTGCTACATTATGCCCATGCACTGGCATTTCATTTTAGGAAGGAATGAACAAATTAGAATATTTCCAGAGGACAACAAACAATATCATAAGGGGTACATAGAAAAATACTTCTGAAGAATAGTTGGAGATGTTGGTGTTGGGTGCTTTTAAGTTAGAAAGCAGAAGATTGATATGAGACATAATAAGTGAATTCCAGTATCTCTCATACAAAATGAATTGTTCAGTATTGCTCTAAAACAGTGTTTTTCAACCTTTTTTGTGCAAAGGCACACTTTTTTCATGAAAAAAATCACGAGGCACACCACCATTAGAAAATGTTAAAAANAGGGAAAAGGGCGGCCTATAAATAATAATAAAACTCTAAAAACTCTAAACAAATGTGGAGAATGAGGAAATTTGGCTTAAGAACAGCACATGTGAGAAGAACTTGGGTGTACTAGTGGATTGCAAGCTCAACATGGCCCAACAGTGTAACACAGCTACAAAGAACACCACTAAAATCTTGAAGAGGCCCATAAAGCCCAGATTGCGGGACGTAATTATCTCTCTTTAGACTGCCTTGAAATATTGTGTTCAATCCTGAACACCCCACTTTAAAAGGGATATTGATAAGTCTAGAGAAGGTCTACCAAGATGGTGAAAGAACTGAAAACCAAGTCCTAAGAGCATTGGTTAAAAGATCTTGGTGTGTTTGGCTAGCAAAGGAGAGAGCTGAATGGGAACATGACAACTATATTTAAACACCCAAAGGTTACCACATTGTAGAGCAGGGGTATCACACTCCTGTCATCATGGTGGCTTTCCCCCCCTGCGTTAAACCAGGTGGGGGCAGGGTCAGCACGTGACACATCCGACTCGCAAGCTGTGAGTTTGACACCCCTGTTGTAGAGGTTTAGGACTTATTCTTACTTGCTCCAGAGCATAGGTTATTGTATGGTGTACTTTCTCCCTTTATTGGAGGTTTTCAAAGAGAAGCTAGATAGTCATCTAACAAGGATGGTACATTGAAGCTTCAGTAAGCAGGCAGTTGGACCTGATGGCCTGTTACATATCTTCCAACTTTATAATTCAATGAAATCCCTATATGTATAGACTATGTGCATAGTCTATCTTACAACCTGCACATTCAAAGTAACATAATAAAATCATATTATGGTAAAGTAGCATTTAAAATAATATTTAAAATAATATCTATGAAAAAAATATTTCCCTGAAAGATATTGTCATCCAGTGGTTGTCTGGAGTTTTTCTGCCAAAATATGGCAGACTTCGTTTAGCATGCTCTTTTCCTGAAGTAATATTAGAGCCACAGAAAATTAAACTCTGTATTTATTATTTAGTCGGTTTCACATTGTTTCTTAAGTTTCTTATTTTTCTAAGATGGTAGATTTGTTTCATATTAAGATAATCCTTTAAGTAACTAAATTCTTTGCTCTTATGGTGGCTGATTAATGCTGTTCTGCTGGGGTGATTTTGCTGTTTTACTTTGCAGCCAAATAAAGTTTGGCATTCTCATAGATTTCAATTCTGCTAACAGAACCTGCTACCAATTTCTCCTTCTTTAATTGCCTTGTTGTAGCTGTCTACCACAAGATCTGCAAATCTTCGATGCCTGGAGAACCCATACCTTGAAGTAGAATTTCTGAACAGTGTTTGTTTATCCTAAGGTCAATAAGTTACAAAGTAGGTCAACCTTTTGTTACAATAGCATCCCCCCCTTATTGGCATGTGGAGAAAATAACGCTTAATAAATTGCTCTTCCAGAATTTTGGATTCAGGTTCCACGTGCAACTTGTAGGAACAGAGCCCCCGCATCTATGTTATCTCCACTCTGTACATCCGTCCTCTCAATTTTGGAATTATATATGTGAAGTCATCAGGAATGTATAGCCCATATTTCTCGATACAACATCAATACAATTCGCAAGTTCTTGACAGATAATAGTGTATTTCCTGTGTATTCTGTTCTCTGAACTGGGAAAGCATAAAGTTTACTCCATACCCAGGGGTGGGTTCTGGAAGGCGCTACTTCCATTTTACTTATGTCTGCGCTTTATGCGCTTTGCGCGCATGCATACATGCACAGTTCAATAAAAATGTTCTGTGCATGCACCGAAGCTAAAAAAAAGTTGGTGTACCTACGGCGGCAGCAGCAAAACCGGTTTGGGGGCGTGGAAGGCCTGAGTCACTGCTGGTTCCAGAGACCCAGATTGCCAAACCTCTATCGGTTCAGCTGAACTGGTCCGAACCAGTAGGAACCCACCACTGTCTCTACCTGAAGAGATAAAGTCAGCAGCCATACAAGATAGGAAATGTTTGAAAACCGTATAATATGTTTGTCTTTCTCTTGTATTCATACTGAAATAACAATGGAATAATGAGGGCATTTCCAAGAACTGGGTGAAAGAATACCTTAAATCACACTGGTATCAAGGAGCATGACATATTTGGATGAGTCTGAAGCTTTCTGAAATGTTTATGGATTGCATACCGTAAAATGATTTGTGTGATCAAACCACATGCATAGACTGCTTCTTTCTTTTCTCTAAATAAGCAAGCATTTGATATATCTCAGGGATGTGAGAAGCAGCAAGAGCTTTAATTATGCTTATCTGGGGCATGTAGCAACAGCTATGATGTTCAGGTTATTTCTACTCATCCTCTGGTGAGTTTGCTGGTGAGCCAGATCCCTGCCAACATAACAATGGAAAACTCACTGCTGAACCTGCAGAAATACAGACATTATTTCTATGGTGAGAAAACTCATTTTGAATGAAATGGCTTCCAGCCATAAGCTTCTGACTCATTCTGTGACATCATCCCCAGGGAAACTACAGCACCCTGTTTTAAAATACATATAATTAAGCTTACTTTTGGAATTTTAAAGTAGAATTTTAAAAATGTCCTTAAGCCACTATGGGAACATATCAATAGGAACAGTAAAGCTGTCGTTGAATCTGTTTCTTGGTTTCTGACTTCCCAAGGTTTTTTTTTAGGTCATCGAAAACAAAATCCACACTGTATTGTTTGAGCTACATCAAAGATTCTGTATAATGAGGAAAATAATGAGCAAGTAGAGAAGAAACCATCAAGATACAGTACATTTGTGTGTATCTGAATGAGGGGTGTAATTTATCCTCTTGACAAAAAGACAGTGAGATTAGTGCAGATCACCAGTCCCCATTGAGAGGAAGAGGGAGAGGAAGGTGGGGGAGGGAGGGGGGGGGGGGGAGGGAGGGAGGGAGGGAGAGAGGGAGAGGGAGCTTTCTAAAGTACAGTACCAAATCTGGTGTGCTGCGTACTGAATAACTGATGAAGCGCTGCAGCATCTACGAAAGGAGAAGAGAACATTTGTTGTGCATGCTAAACAAGAATTAAAAACAGTCCAGCTCATGTTTTTCTCTCTCTGTATGCCCATGATATTAGCCAAGCATCATCAGTTTTTCAGTCCTTTTCATGTTGCACTGCAAATTAGACACAAAGGGAGGTCATTGTGATTTGCTAGTTGGTAGCTGTGCATATGATACAGCATTATTGCTTGGATTTGCTAAAATTGACAGTAACTTCAGACCCTCAAGGGAATACCTGTGCAGATAAAGCACTTACACAATAAATTATAGTAAAAACAGGTATGCTGAGGAAATGAATATATATGAGAGCTGAGCTGAGCTGAGCTAATGAAATAAACACTCAAGCACAAGTTTAATTCATTCCCAAGAAAGCAAACTGAAGTTATTCTGGCTAAAATATGTTTCTTATTTTCTCTTGTTCCCAAGAAATATGCTGTTCTTTTATTATCTTTATATAGAAGATATACAACATTTAAGGCACTCAACTATACACTATGGGTTTTAGTACTGCCTTGGGCATAAAGCCAGTTGGGTGATTTTGTGCCAGTCACTTTCACTCAGCCTTTGCAAGGAGGCAATGGCAAACCACTTCTAAAAAAATCTTGCCAGGACAACTACCCTGTTCAGGAATATGATTGAGTGTGTGTGTGTGCGTGCGTGTGCGCGCACATGTGGTAATTGTAGGCTCAACATGCTTAAATGTATGGATGTATTCTCCAGGAAAGCAGTCATTTTGGCAATCAGATCAGCAGACAGAATTGGCTATTGGCATGGCACGTAACAATAGTAACCATGGAAGTACAACTCTCTTATTTTTATTATCCTGTTATTGGCTCTGGGGTATCCTTTGGTGCACAAGAGTGGGGCCTAAATTCTTTAAATATATCTGTTATTGCTGCACAGATAACCATTAGATGGATGATGTCGGCCAGATTGTATAGATCAGTGTTTCTCAACCTTGGCTACTTGAAGATGTCTGGACTTCAACTCCCAGAATTCCCCAGCAGCTTGGAATGGAACAAGATGGGCAGATTTTAAGTCAATGGATTGTTCATTCAGTGGAGGCCACTGCTAATGCCTTAGAGCATCGGAAGCATTGAACCACAAGTCTTGATTGATCACACTTTCCATCATATTGACTTCTGAGTTTCAGCTAAATACAAAACAGGTCTTTTTAAAACAGCTCTGAGCTTTATTAACCTTGCTTTTTCCTTTCAGGTATCCAGGATACAAAGCCTGAAGACGCAAAACTACCAAAATGAAAATGAAAAAGCAAATGAAAGAAGTGCTATTAAAGCTCAATGTTCTTTTGAGACCATTTCTTCTCTTTTCAGTCAAGAGGTACTTTTTAAAGGTATTTGATTGTGGCCAGCTCCATAGGAAGCACTGCAGGAACCATTACATGACACTATTTAAAAGTACCTGTACAAAACCAGGATTTAAAGTCCGGGTTGCGTTTACTTTTTTTGTGTAACTTTGCTTTGGCAGAAGATTAAAATATGTTAGCATAAAAGGTGCTTAGCTGATAAGTACAATATGGTAAGATGATATAAAAATTAGATAACAGTTGCCAATTATTGGGAAGGTTGTGAAAGGAGATTCCAGATAGTAGGTGTTTATGCAACACGAAGGACTATTGGCCTGTTTTTGTTTGCGCTGCACGGTTTGCCAATCCCATAGATAAGCTGCAAAATGAACCACAAGGTGTGGTAGTTAGTGTTGATATCTGGATTATGGTACTGCATACAAGACAGCAAAGTATGATATCTTAGGTTTCATTTGTAACATACATGCAAAAAATGATTGCCATTGACATAAATGGAACTATTGAATTAGGTTGACATGACAGTTGGCTCTGTTTCTGGTTTGAACTGCAGCCCAAAGCTGGAGATATACAATAAGCAAATTCTAAAAGGGATAATATGCAGGATTTTACTCTTGTTGCAATTAATCAGCAGGCAAGACAAATTCTACCAAACGTATAATTCTTATTTTCAAGTCTATTTCAGCGCCAATAAGGGCTATGAAGTATTTTAAATTCTCTGCTTTTATGGTATCAGTGAATTGTATTCCAACACCCATATTTAGGATGACATGTTGTCTTTGTATGGCAAGTTACAGAGATCTGGCTGAGTGCCACTATGAGATATCTGCAACATGCTTCACTAATAAAAATGCTCAAATTTGCTTAGATCTGAATATTGCTAGTATTTCATCAATTCCTGCTGCTTTTTTGTTAGTAATATTTTGAGCCCATTTCTGAACAGTCAGACTCCAGTTTCCTGTCAATTATTTGTCTTTTTATTTCTATAAGTGTTCTATGTATGTCTTCTTTTTATTGTTTTTCATTAGATCTTTGCATTCCTTTATCATATNTGTGGGGGCGATATGCTGACTCTGTAAACCGCTTAGAGAGGGCTGAAAGCCCTATGAAGTGGTATATAAGTCGAACTGCTATTGCTATTGCTATTCACTTACCTTCCCTATCAGTTTGCAAATGTGAGCATGCGCAGAAGGTCACGCATTACGTCGGGGCAGATGGGCAGAGCCTCCTGCAGCCGCCGCTACCAGTTCACTCGAACCTGAAAGAAAAGGCTGAATACCACCTCTGTTTGTCATATATTAAAAGCTGTTGCAAATAGCATAAAGCTTTTGAAACAAACATATTTTTCCACCATTTAACAAAATAGGGACAATGAGTTGAACAGAATTTGGATTATCTTCTTGAGCAATGGTGGCAGCAGAAATCAATCAGTAAATTACTGAGGAAGGCTACACTGTATGTCAGTCACTAGAATAGGTTCTCTAGATAGAACTGAGACAAGAGCCATTAGAGGTAATATGGCGTTGGGGTATCTCCCATGTATATTGTTGGGTCGCCCAGAAATTATCCTACTTGGATGTGAAAAAAGGGGCCAAGTGGCTCTAGGGGAGGTGGGACTAGGAGGAAGCAAACCTGAGGAGTCAAGGCCTATCTTCTGCATATGCTAGCTGACAATGCCCTTGAAATCCTGATAATCTGACTTGCATTCCTTCAGAATTGGAGCCACCACTCCTGTTGTCCTGTTGTCCAATGTTGGATATGCAATCCATATAAAAAGGAACATTGCTTTCAAAATGTACATAATTTTAATTTTACTTTAGTATCTCTGGGTAGCAAATTCAGGTGTGGATTTACACATTTCATAGTCCACTAAGCATGGATATATAGTATGCAAGTATATCATTTCAAGAAACTTGCCTATAATAGGCCTGGAGAACAAATCAGGCTTCATCAATTTGTTTATTTAATAAACAAGTTAGTATGACTGTCCATCTAACCAATTAAACATTGGGCAGTAAACAAAAGATAGAACCCAAGAAATATTCAAAAATTCTCTTTCTTTCTCTCTTTCTCTCCCTCCCTCCCGCCCTCCCCATCTCTCCCTATAGTATTTGTCCCTCATTTCCATCCTCTGACAGGCCCATAATTCATAGCATTTTTGGAGAGCACTTTTTCAGCTCTTTGATGTGAAACTCCACTTATTCTTACATCACAGTCAAATGGAGCTATTGAGAAAATAAATTCTACCTTAGCTTCGTTGCTTTATAAATTATAAGGAGAAAAGTCAGCCTGATCTTTTAACTTACAACTGACTTCACTTAAAATGACTTAGTTTATGCCTTTACTCAGCCATCATTTCAGGCCACTAATCATCTGTGCGGACTGCCAAATCTTTCCCAGTCCTCCCATTTCCTTTCCTCTTATGGCATTCTCTGATTCCAAGGCTGAAAAAGAGAAACTAGCATAAAATTCTGCAATTTAGAAGGCAAGAGGATATCAACTACTTGGCACTAGGGGCTACTAATTCATAGCAAAGAGTCAGAGCCTGACCTTGCCTGAATGCCAAGGCTTAAATCATACTGCCTATTTAAGATTGTTGAGCAGCTGAAACTGGCACAACTTCTTGGGAGCAGTGGATGTTAATGTCTCTAATTAAGCAAAGCTAGGAACTCAGGCTATATAAATATATATATTTCAGAGTCTGTATCTTTGTTGGAGTGTTTCTCCACCTTAGCAACTTTAAGGTGTGTGGACTTTAATCAGATGCATCTTCCTTTCTCTCTCTCCTGTTGTGGCTAGTACTGTGTCTGTTCCTCTATTTTTGTTTCTTTGTTGATTGAACACCACTCTCCCTTTTAACTCTCTCTACCTCTCTTAGCTTCACTTAAGTCAAGTGGTTATGGCTTGTGAGGATATTACAAATGAAATTGAATTGTCGAAGGAAACAAGGGGCAGGCATCTTTTGATCAATCTGTGTCTGGATAGTTCTTCCAATAAATCACATATTCCAGTCTGCTTGTCCTGCACCAGGAGGGACCAGCAGAAAAACACGGCTTGGAAGCTGCAAATGAAACCCTGTAGGATTCTGGGCTTTGACATAATCCAATTGTTGTTTGAGGAGGTGCTGAGTGAAATTTATCCTGGAGAAAACAGGAGACTATACTGTATTATGAACAAGCAGGAGGTAATTAGCATGTTTCTAATGGTTTTATTAACTTGGTTGTACATCATTTAGCAGGTACTGCCAGAACTGAGTGACTGTAAATTAGAGAAAGATCTGCAGAGAAGAAATTTGTAATTTGTAGCTGGTGCATAAGTGGAGGCAAGATTCATTTCAATTAGATAGTCTGGAGCTAAAACATCCATAATACCTAGGTCAGGGGTCATAACACATTTTGCAGGACCAGGATTTAGGAGAAATTAGAAATGAGAAGCCACAGCAGCACAGTGTCTGGTCATGGATAATTGTTTCAAACAAAGCAGTGTTTCTCGTTCTTGGCAATTTTAAGTTGTGTGGATTTCAAAGAGAGAGGGGGGGGAGAGGGAGAGGGGAAGGATAAAATAAGAAAGAAAGTAGTTTAAATGCAGAAGTTAGCAAGATCGTTCAGCCTAGAAAGAATATTTAGGTAAATATGGAAGAAGTATGTCTACCTCTCAGAATTGCAAAATAAAAAATAAAATAAAAATGCCCAAAATTCCATTGACAGGAAACAACAGAAGGAAAAGGCCTAGGATATAATTCTGTTGTTGATACACATAGATGTTCTGCAGAACTCTGTGTAAAGCAATTTTTTTTCTTGTTTGCAATAAAGCAAGTGATCTAATCAATTTACACCTCTATAAATTTTCAAGTATTAGCTCACTACCAAATGCAGGGTTGACTTTCTGGAAAAAAGATTTATTGACATGCCTGGTATGAAGTTAGACATACTGTACATTTGGACATGGGATTGTTACATACTGACAGACAGTATGGTAGTAGTTTCCACCAAGATCCTCTGATCCAGCAGGAAAATACTCAAAGGTCTTCGCTAGATTGTAAATAGTGTTCACTAATAAAGAGCTGTTGTTACTGTTAGCCTGAGTCTGCCTCATCCATTCACCTGATCTAACAGGGATCATATCCTATATTGGTGGAATATGGCATTCCTTGATCCGAGAAACATAAAGGATAAGATGAAAGAATGAGATTGCAAGGACTCCACCCCAGCTCGTGGAGCTGATGAAATAGATCTTTCATCTAAGCATGGTTGGCCAAGGTGCCAAGGTGGCGCAGTGGTTAAATGCAGCACTGCAGGCTACTGCTAGATCAGCAGTTCAGCGGTTCAAATCCCACCGGCTCAGGGTTGACNCAACACTGGAAGTCTTTAAGAAGATGTTGGATAGCCATTTGTCTGGAACGGTATAGGGTTTCCTGCCTAGGAATGGGGTTGGATTAAAGACTTCCAAGGTCCCTTCCAACTCTGCTATTGCATTATATTGTATTGTATTATCTATTGGCAGAATATTAAAGCTGCCATTTCTTTCACTTTTCTCTAATACCTTGACCATAATGGATGATTCTTTTGGAAATGTGTACTCCAGAAATGTGTACTTCTGAATAGTTCTGGAGAACCGGTAGCAGAACTTTGAGTAGTTCAGAGATCCGGTAAATACCACCTCTGACTGGCTGTGCCCCAATCTATTCTCTGCCTCCCGAGTCCCAACTGATTGGAAGTCCCCTGGAGTGGGGAGGGAATGGAGATTTTATAGAATCCTTCCCCTGCCATGCCCACCAAGCCACACCCACAGAACCGGTAGTAAAAAAAATTGAATTCCACCACTGGTGTACTCCCAATATTATAACTCATAGCATTATTGGAATGTACAGGCCCCCTTCACCATTACAAATAATGATCCATGAAGCAAAGCTCAAGTTCTATTAACCTTTAAATGAAGCTCAGAAATTAGTAATCTACTGATGTGTCTTAATCAAGAGGTTGGACTAGAAG